AAAAATTATGTCGAACCATTGGGTCACGACTTTCCGAAGTTCAAAATCGACAACAAAGGGACGCTGCGATTGAAAGCTCATCTGGAGGTCGATCTCATGAACAAACACACGAGAAAACCGCTCGACCTGTCGACGCTAGCCAGTCGCCATGGCGGTAGTCAACTGATCCGCAACGAAACCTGCGAGATTACGGCAGTGCACGAGCCAAACAACTTCCGCCGAAGGTCGTCCAAGATCTGCAAAACGTAAGGACCGAACTTCGGTGATGCTGGCGCTGATCCAAGAGAAATGCCCCAGCGCGCTTAAGAATCGTCGGACGAAATCGAAAAAATATCGGTCACGTACCGAACAAACCCTTGCCCGGTTTTGAATTTCCTCTTAGGGAACTTCGGGGTCTAGACGAAGCCTTGAAAAATGTGCGTGGAGAACTCATGAACAACATTGGTAAACTCAACGAAATCGACGAGCACATCGCCCGCGAGAAAAGAAAACTAAGGATCGAAGCCATGAAAACCATCATCGAGAAAAGATTGCGCGACCTGGAAGACGAGAGACGGACCAGATTGAAAGCCGCTTCCTCCAGCCGGGAAGACCTCCGATCACATCATCAGGCGACGACATCAGAGACTGGATAAAAAAACATTTGAAATCTCTCGGCGAGGCCCTGGCTAAACTGGCCAGCAAAGCCACCGAAGCGCTGCCTGGCATCTTGGGCAGCATCGTTTCCTGCTTGTTAGGTTTCTTGTCGAAAACGGTCACGTGGCTCGGTCAAAACCTGTGGGCTTTTGTCGTCGCCGTGGCAGGTCTGGTGTACGTCGCAGCTAAGGAATTTTTAACCAAATGAGGCACAGTCAAACCGCGATCCCGCCGACCACCAGCGCTGTTTTGCGATCGACGTGCCGCTAATTGTTTGCCTGCACGTGCGGGGGCAGCTGCTACTGTTGTTGGCGTGGTGGTGCTACTTCCTCCGGTGTCGGTGCCACGATGCCCCTTTCATACTGCCACACGACTAGACTCGCATTATTGACGTCCTGGTTCAAACCCAACTTTTGATCAGCGGTCGCGATCACGATTTCATTGTTGTTGCCCACCACTCTGTTCACCCTCAGTCGCATGTCGCTCGGAGCCATGTACAGTCTCGCGCCGAACACGTAGTCGACTTTCAACAGGGCGTATTCTAGCACGTTTTGATAGCGTTTGATGGCACTTGGTACATCGTCTAGCAATGGCATCCTCAACGTTAGCCATGAACTGTTTCTGCGCGTCCTAAGCCGTATGTTCGAATCGAATCGTTCAATCTGACAACTCCGACATGAGTAAACCCTTTCGAAGTGTCCAGTATGACTATTTTCCAATCATCCGCGGGTCCCTGCTGTCGTCGAAAGCCATGTAATCGTCGTTCCACTCGTTCATCATGACGTAACGATACGACTTGTAACCCCAATCTTTCACCAACTGTTTGCTGGCTTCCGCGAGATACATGTTGTGAACGATGGGAATGCCCAAACCGTGGTTCGGACCCAGCAAACGCCAATCGACCCTCTTCAGATCTAGTTCGACTTCACCGCAAACGCGTTCGTACGCACGTCGATCGTATGGATTGATAACGGCATTCCACGCCTTGTCCTGGGGAATCGGGGCACTGATTTCTTTCAGGATACGTCTGATCTGGTAGTACACGTACACGGCTATGATGATGCACGGCTGACGCCGTCGGTTCCAAATGAATTCCCGTGCTTCAAATACTCAATAACACCCGGAAATTGGCCAACACATGATGTTTATCTCGTAAGCGAAACGGCATTGGGAACACTCTCAATGACTTCATTAGATTAATTAAGACTTAATTAATTAAGGGATTAGGGACTTCCCAAGGGCTCAATTTTTAAATTGAGCCCTTGGGAGGGACCTGGTCCCGTAGCCCCATTGTGTATACTACTCCCCCTTGAGACATAAGCATGATCAGTGTAAATGCTTCACAGTATTAAAGCAAGTTAATGACCTTCAGCAGCTGCATGAGTGAGTGAGGTTTTATGCCACTTTTAGCAATATTCCAGCAATATCACCGCAGGGACATCAGAAATGTACTTCACACATTGTACCAATGTGGGGAATCGAACCCGGGTCTTCAGTGTGCCAATCGACTGCCTTAACAACTAGGCTACTACACTGTCCTGTTACAGAAGAATCTTTATTGGATATCACAACAGAAATCTAAAATACTCCACAGAGGACAATATGTCATTGACAATCTGTGGGAAATATTCCACTTGTGCATGCAGAAAAAACGTTTCTGCATCTAACCTCAAATCGCTAATCACTTAATATAACTAGATTGAAAAAAACAAAACCTTTCTTGAGAAGGGAGCCAAGTCAAAGGGCACTGAAGTTGCCTTATATTTACATAAGCAAGGTAAATGTGAAGGCATGTTCTGTTTCTTTCAGAACTACACAAGAATCAACTGAAAATCTGTAGAAGTCCCATATCCTCCAGATAACAGCCATAATACAGGTAAGTCTGTACACAGTAGTAGCTGTAGAACTCCTACATATGAACCTGATCTTATTGAGAGCATTGTCTCTTTATATATCACATTAGCTCTGTTTCTTCTCATCATGTTTTGATAGTTTTCTTTCTTCTGATCATATTTAACATTAGCTGTGGTTCATCTGATCATATTTTAGATTAGCTCTGGTTCTTCTGATCATATTTTACATTAGCTCTACTTCTTCTCATCACATTTTCCATTAGGCCTCAAAAAAAAAAGCTTGTGGTTCCGATTTCCCGACCGACCCTAAATATTCCCGCCGAGCCTAACAATTTTACTCACCTCATAATAAATGAAATTTATTTTCTGACACATGAGTAATCTGAGTAATGTAAAAATATTTTGCAAAAAAAAAACAACAAAACCCTACCTACCTACCCTAGTTCTGAAATGTAGGAAATCGGAACCACAACATTTATTTTTTTTGGCCTTAGCTCTATTTCTTCTCATCACATTTTCCATTAGCTCTATTTCTTTTCATCACATCTTCCATAAGCTCTATTTCTTCTCATCACATTATAAAGAAGCTCTATTTCTTCTCATCACATTTTTAATAGCTCTACTTCTTCTCATCACATTTTCCATTAGCTCTACTTCTTCTCATCACATTATAAAGAAGCTCTATTTGACACTCCAGTAAACGATATTCAAACTCACAGTGGCCTACAAAGAATGCAGCCTTGGCCTACAAAGAATGCAGCCTGGGCCAGGCAAACCAGTGACAATAACTAACAGCTTGACACAGTCAGTCATCCAGTTTGATCAACTGGTCAATATCTCAATATCCCAAACAAGGAGTGCATCCTCTCACTCAGAATGTCCACAGGGGTATTTCAAGGTGAAGGTCAGCTACGTTGCCAATATGGTTTAGGGACCGTTCATAATTTATGGCTGGGGTGTGTGTGTGTGTGTGTGTGATGATGACTTTTATGGAAAAGCATGTACAATGTGAATGACCACTCCCTAAAATTCATGTACAAAGTAAGTGACCCACCCCACACCCCCTGCATGTCATGTACAAAATCAATGACCCCCCCTCTCCCTTCCCATAATTTTTAAGCCTATTTTTTAAATATTTCTTGTGTACAAAATTGCTGTCCCCCCTCTAGTACATGTGTACAAAATTGATGAACCCCCTACCTCTTAAAATCATCATCATCCCTCTAGCCATAAATTATGAATGGGTCCTTAGTGCTTGGTCTTCAGACCATTCATGGGGATTCCGGAAAGAACTTATAACCAAAACCAATACTTGTCATACAAGGTGACTAAACGAGTCTGGTAGCTCTCCGTGACTTGGTTAATTGTTGATTCCCTGGCACTGCTCCACATCATCATTGTTCATTATGTCAGTCACTGGTGGCTGTGATTTAGCTGGAATTTTGGTGACTGAAGCATTTATATAGAACATACCATTTCCAACCTTACACCTGTACTGACTCCATGATAACCAGTTCTTGTTTAACCCTAAAATGCTGAGTTCCAACCAGGGTAACAATAAGTAAGATCTTTTAACATGTCTGCCATGATGCAGCCATGATCAAACCATCAACCTTCAACTCTTCAGCCAGATGCTCTATCCAATAAACCACACAGGTTTTGTCTTGGATATAACTTAAAGTGTTAAGGTCGTGACAACATTTTAATAACGAATCAGTATATTCTTTCTATATACCCAGACGCAAGCGTTTTAAGTTCTAACAGCTCATATTATAGGTCACAAAGCCAGAGGAGAATGACTGATTTGATTCATTCTACAATTGTAATACCACTCATGAATACTGATAGCAATAGCTACTGACACAGAGATGAGAAAACTTATTCTGTCCCGTTTGCAAGGACGAGAAATGTAATCTACAAAGTTGATTAATCCAATAGTCAGCACAAACAAATATTCCCATACTGGACAAACAATTTATCTCTTCGGATTGACAAAATCCAGAGTATGTCATATGACTTTGTATAAAAAGGTATTCTGAATTTTACTGTAAGTCTAAAGTCAAGAGCATCAGCCCAAAGAGCTGATGGTGGGTAGTTCAATCTCCTGGCAATATGCAGGGGTGGAAATAACCCATTGCCATTGTTTTTTTTCTGTCGGCCAAACAAATTTGTGTATCACACTGTACCGGTGTCCAGTTGATATTTCAATGTTAATTATGCTGTTAATTAAAAAATCAACAAGAAAACAGACGGTATAGTGGAAAAATTATCAGGGCAAGTGATTTTACATGTGCCACTGTACCGGAGTAAACTAGCAATTTTAAAGTTATTTCCACCCCTGAATATCATGCCAAAAGACGTTGACGTTGATGGTACCATGTAAGACATTTGGCACCACGGTCAGCTAAGAGACAGTACACAAGTTAACCTGTAGCATATCGCAACAGTGGGCTAGAACTATAAGCACAGGAGGATGTAATGTGTTAATACACTATGTGAAATCTGACTTACCTCCTCAATGAAGAGCCAAGGATGGCAATGACTTCCTAAGATGTTGGATTTCTTTAATCCGTGTTCAAATATTGCTTTCAAAGCTGGACATAACCTGGAAGTACAAGAATTGCATTGCAATTGAATATAAGAGGCTCAAAATTATTCATCTTCATCCAACATGAGGATAAACACTTCAAACTATGACCAGAATAATTGATCACTATTAAGTTTATATGACCATTAAAAGCAAAACAGCAAACTCCATGTGTATTTGTGGGAACACAAAGACAATTACATCCTCATCCCGGAAACTGTGCAGTTTTGCACCCACTACATTCTTCTGACTCCCGTTATCATATTCAACCAATTTGTTTCGTCGCCATATTTTAACACACCACATGCCATTCATATTTGAAGAAGAAACAAGGAATGATCACTATCGTTATACTTCATGTTGCAGAGGGGAGGAGAAAGGAGGTCATGTGACCAAACTGAATTACGGACAGATTTAGGAAAAATTCACTTCCTCCAAACTTAGTGAATTCTGTAAAAAGTCATGAGACAAAAGAATTGTCTTCAACTGGTCTAATTGGTACAGCACTGTTGACTGAAAACTGACAGTAATTGTTATAACAGTATAAATTATTCACAGTAATCTTTAACATGCTGTCATGAATATTGTGTTGAAACGTATGGCCTTAAACTACAGTGATGAAATTACAATTAAGTACCTCCCTGGGCATGGAAGGCTAACAGAGTTATCTCCCTTGAATTGAATTCATGGCCTGTGATAGCGTGATAACATTTCCCATCTCTGATGGTATTACAGGAAAATTTAACATAACATGCATGCATATCCAAGATCCATTAGGTTTTCTTGTATATGAGCATGAAAAGCCTTGGGTAGAATATGACCTGGAATATGACCCGAGCAACCCATACTGGGGTAAGAGGTGTTCAAATGAATTGGGTGCTTAGGCTCAGGCCTTATGGTTTATGGCCTTCCAGCATACCTCAATTACATGGATCAATGCTCATAACATCAATCACTGGATTGTCTGATTTGATTATTTACAGGCTGCTGTCACATGGCTGTAATATTGCTGAGTACATTATTAACAAGGAACTTACGCTTAAATTACAAATTACTTAAAAACAATTCCCTACCAAGATTATTTTTTCCTATCCCCATATAGCAATCAACTGCACAAGTCTTCATATGACAAGAATTTGATGCATGAATGGATTAAGGGTCTGACTCTACATAAGAAATCAAAGGCTACTACGTTCCTCTGACCAGATCTGTTACGGCTTCGGTCACAGAGTCATCTCCGGCTGACGAGTAGTGCTTACTCCTCTCATCCAGTATTTCCACAAACTTGGCGGGGAACCATCCTCGCAAACCATTCAGTTCCCCAATCCAACAGTGCTCATCCTTCTGAGAGATGATCTGAACAAAGAGAGTGTGATGGGTTTAAACATGTTACATGCCACTTTGAACAGTCTAACAGTTTTCTCACAGCATGACAGTTTCATGGACGTAAGACCAAAGTGATGCCAGGAAGAGCATGGTTAGGAAGATGTCAAATGAAAGTATAAACGGTAAAATTTGATTCGATCCCTCAGCAAACAAGCCATATAGTTTACTACTCAAAAGTCCTGAAGCCTCCAAATACTGTGACCTGAATCCTGGTCTACAAAACATTCATAGTGCTATGACACTCATTAGCCAATAAACTATAGGTGAGGTGAGGTGAAATTGGGTTTAACGTCGTGCTTGAGAATATTTCGCTCATATGACGACGTGCATGCGTGTGTATGTGTATGTACGGCTGCTTGTACTAGCCCAGACTGAAGCTGGTTTTATAGTGCTAGCCCACTGAGATACCATGCCGCAGTGAAGCATGAATACCCCACTCAGACACATTATACTGACTCCGAGCCGACCAGTCCTTGATGTACCCATTAATGCTGAGCGCCAGGCAGGGACCAACAAGTACCATATTTTAACGTCTTTTGGTATGACGCGATCGGGGAAGTGTCTTTGTCTTTGTATCCATGAATTAGTTATGAGATGTTCTGCACATTACAACTGGCGTTTTGAATGGACTGATTAGCAAGTTTGCCAATGGGCACTGAAGGATTGACAATACACTTCTTTGTATCTAGATTAACAAATCCTGAAATATGTTTTTAAAGGTATTCACAGCTGAGTTGAGTTTTACGTGACATCGGCATTATTTCAGCTGTGTAGCTACAATCACAATCTTGACTTTCAACATGGCAAAATGTACAGATATGCAACAATATTTGTGGATTTATTATACCCAGTACTTACTGTGATTATGTCATTCTTTCTGAATCCTAGTTCATCATCATCATGCCGCTCAAAGTCCAGCAGTGCCTTGGCCCGCCTCCTCCTGTTGCGGGCAACGTTCACATAGTTCTCCAGATCCTTGGCATGGCTGTCCATAGTGTAGTCTGCTTGCAGGTTCTGCAACACACAACAGCAGTACTCACACACTTGAAACATGATGCTTCAAAACTTTCAGGTAAAATCTGAATACATACCAGATAAAATCTTAGAAACAGCCCAGTCTCATTAAAAAAACAGATCTTTAGTCTACACACTTTCAATACCATCTTCCTGAGGCAAAGGAGTTACTATACAAGTCTGGTTTCCACTAGAGTACCACTAGTGGCTTTTATGAGTTATGTCCTTTCTATGTCCCAAGTATTGACCACCAGATGTCACTTATGATATGACTTGCATTTGCTTATAATAACAATTATAATAATAGGCCATTTATATAGCGCCTTTCCACGTCACAGGGATATGCTCAAAGCGCTTCCTGAGCTCAAGTTAAAACTATATACAGTTGGCAGGTACGGATGATTGGAAGTCACTTGTAGCGGAGAAATAGATGAGTCTTTAGTCGTGTTTTGAATGTACTTAGGGAAGGAGATGATTTTAACTCGATAGGGAGAGAGTTCCACAGAGAAGCTGCTGCATATGAAAAGGTCCTTAAGCCAAATGATTTTAGATTGTAGCTGGGGACAGCAAGTAACAGTTGTTGTGATGAGCGCAGAGTTCTTTCTGGAGAGTAATGTGTCAGAAGGTCTTGAAGGTAGGAAGGTCCTGAGTTGTAGAAAGACTGGTAGGTGAGGCAGAGAATCTTAAAATCAATCCTTTCACGAATACGGAGCCAGTGTAGAGAGTTTAGAATGGGAGAGATGTGACAGCGAGGACTGGTGAGAGTGATGATGCGTGCAGCTTTGTTCTGGATTTTCTGAAGGAGATGGAGTTGAGACGAAGAGATGCCAAACAGTAAACTGTTGAAGTAATCCAGGCGGGATAAAATCAGTGTCCGCACAAGGGTGGCAGTGCTTCAAACAATATAGCACAATGATCTATCAAAAATGGAGATCCATATTGTTAAAGAACAGTCTCCTGAACTTCATTAATTACTTAAGCACCTTGATTAAAGACATGAAAAGATTTGGGAAACTATCTCGTCTATACCAAGTTCACAGTTCATATGCTGTGAAAATCCAGCACTCGACTGAAATCTGCAGTAGCAAACAGATGTCGAGTTTGTTAAGCTGTTTGGATTATACTATGCCAGAGTCATTTGTTCAGCCAAAACACAATCCCTACATGCCACCCTAGTTTGAAACTTTTGGAAACTGGATTTGTATATTCAATTAACTCCCTTGCCATGGGAAGATGTTCCTCCAAAACGGATCTATTATATCTGTTGCTATAATCCTGTTGTCCTGACACTCACTATAAGGCTCTTGGTATAATACAACAGTGGAAGCCTGGTATACTTACAACTTTGTTATTTTTGGGGTCAAGTGATTGGAAGTGACGAGCAACCTGTAGGATGGCTTCCCGCAAGTCAACAAGTAATTCTGTTTGGCGAATATTTTTGGCTTTTCCAAAGTCTTCATCCTCTGATTCCCCTCTCAGCAGAACGGAGACGAGAGATCGAGATCGCTTTAGGTGTCGCTTGTTCAGTTGCTGCAAAGGAAACAGAAAGTCAGGCAATTAACTCCAGAAAACACATACACTAACTAGAGAGACATGGTGATACTGTTAGGGACCGTTCATGATTTATGGATAGAGGGGGTGATGATTTGTAGGGGAGGTGTCACCCATTTTGTTCTAGGGAGGTAGGGGGGATCACTGAATTTGTACATGACATGCAGGAGGGGTAAGCAAGTCACTTACTTTGTACATGAATTATTTTGAGGGAGGGTCATTCACATTGTACATGCTCCTCCATAAAAATCATCACCACCCCCCTTTATAATGCCATACCTCAATTATCATCAAATCTCAGGTTCGCCCTGATTATGCCTCTTGGTTTGTTGGCACCTAGTAGCTTTCACCAAAGTGGTCAACATCAAACTAATAATATTTTGTGCCTTTTTCATATTATGTTATGAATGTGGACTGTACAATCTATAAACTAAAAATATGTCATCTACATGATGACTTTGATTGACTTGTGTTATCCAATATCAAACTGAGTCTCACATATGTTCATACGTTGGTATGAAAGTTTTTATTCTGATTTTTTTGTTCTATTCTCAAACTACTAACTGACCTGTTTTGGCAGGTTCCTGGACGACTCTGGGTTGACCAGTGCACCCTGGTCAGCCATAAGGTAGGCCAGGTGTTTCCGTCTGTGTGTCTCCACCACGACATCGGTCAAGGATCCAGCAGTCCGGAAGGCAACCTGCATCAGACCCATCACCGCCATTACAGACTCATGTACGATCATAAAATCAACTGCCTATTTAAGGAAACGTAAATAGGCATTTGTAGCAGAGATCATCTTCTCCACAAATATCACACTACATCATCATCATATCACATTATCATATTGATAACTTATAAATACATTGAACAGGATTCAGAGCCACAGGACAACATGACACTTCCAATACATGTATGGCATTACAGACACAATAAGAATCAGATTAGAATGAATGAAATATGTCATGTGAGGAGAAATAAAAACGCTGTAGCTCACAGTTATGTATATAATAGTTTCAAGCAAAGATCTTACTACAGCTGCATTTCGCATATCCAGACACTAGCGTTTTTCAAATATTGTAGGAAATAGCAATCAGCTGTACATGTTTTCTCCCAATCTACCAGTGGTTCAGTTAAACAACAATATAACAAGGAATTCTGACACAATGTCTGGAATACCTGACTAATTTCATACTAGGAAAGCTATATTCCAATATCATGTTATTTTAGTTACAGTGTTCACTACATAAACATATATAAATTGATAATAATAACTATTAGTGTACCACTGAGGTACAACTGATTGCTGTTATCAGATAATTTCTCACTAGATTACAAACATCAGATAAGATCTACGATGAACATATTTGTATAACAAGTATGTGTAATAACATGATTAGATTAACACTGTGATTACACAATAAACACTCCTTTGATGGATGGTGGTTATCTTTGTTGTTGGTTTGTTGGTTCAATATTCCAGTTATATGGGGGCGGTCTGTAAATAATCAAGTCTGGACCAGACAATCCAGTGATCAACATCATGAGCACCGATCTACGCAATTGGGATACGATGACATATGTCAACCAAAGGTGGTTATCTAGTAAGTGGGACACAATAGTGTGTATTTGGACTCATGGTAATCAAAATTTGCCCTCCAGATCTATGAAACCAGATTTCATGACAACTGAAGCATTTATGAAGTACATATTTTGTTCTGTGTGTGCAAGGTTTCTGGATCCTTGTGGATTAGCAGGGTTCAACTGTATTTCACGTTCCAAAATGGATACTTCATGAATAAGAAATGAGAATACAGTCAGCCAGTTTATATTTATTAAATAGTTCATTGTAATCATGAGTATTATGTATCCATGTTATAACCACATTCTAATATAGGTTTCCACTAAGAATCATTATGTCATTGTGAACATATAACAGATGAAATCAGGGATTTACAGGAGGCGAATTCCTGCGTCCTATATGCATAAAGATTGACAATGGATGCAACAAAATTTATTCGCGCATCCACAGGGACTCCAAAGTCCAAATACTTTTTGTAAAAATTCCAATCAAGTGACAATAAGTTATCACTGAGTTTGCTACTAGCTGGGTTATGGTATCATTTGCAATTTAATTACTGTAACAATGTGATGATCATGATACACAATACAATAACAGTATTAATAATAATATTTAAGTGTCTGGGACCCCAATTTTGTTGTCCAGGACCCCCTGAAAATTAAGAATATGAATCCCAGGGACCCTCAAATACAGGACTCAAGGTAAATCCCTGTGAAATTGTGACTGCTTAGTACCATGAGTTCAGGTGCAATGTTGTTTATCTGATGAGACCTCCTACTAAGGTGTCCTCACATCTTTATTCTTTATGAATGCAGATATTGTATGAGAAAAGAGGTCCAATTGTAATGATATTGACCATTTAGCGACTTATATAACAACTCTACATGGATTTACCTGGGTTATATATGTTGAGGTTCCAAAGAACTCACAACCCTAATCAGAGTTTAAACAAGCCAAAAGGTGCGAGCAAGGCTCACGAATAACCCCTGACTGTGACTCCCAACTACAGCTAGACAACAATTAATAATGATTATTCTTGACAATAAATACAAGACTTGTATCAAACTTTACACTGAACCTTTCCCATAAACAAAGCAGCCATTACCCAAATCTGAAAAACAGCCATTGTAAAGTTCTTGAACGAATTTGTCATGGACTTTTTTTCCTCAAGCTCAAGAGATGTAATTTTGAGGTGTAAAAATAGATGTGGAGGGTGATACCAAAATCTGAAAACAATCCATTGAAATGAGTTAAAAATTTCCCTTGGGACTTTTACGTTCAAAATATGTAAAATGATGCAACTCTTACAAAAAGTTGAAAATCAGAACCAAAATTTGCACTGCAACACTCCTTGAACAGAGACTGACTGACAGACTGAGTTTGGTTTTACGCCGCTTTTAGCAATATTGCAGCAACATCACGGCGGGGGACACCAGAAATGGGCTTCACACATTGTACCCATGTGGGGATTTGAACCCGTGTCTTCGGCGTGACGAGCCAACGCTTTAACCATTAGGCTACCCCACCGCCCTCCTTGAACAGAGAAGCTGCTTTCGAAATTTGAAAACATTTTGACAAATGCTATAGAGGTTATTGGTTGAACAAACATTTCTAAGTGTAATATGCGTAATGGGTGGCAATTCTGTTTGAGCCTTTCTCCAAAAGGCAGCCCCTGAACAACTTCTTAACCAATCTGTAAGCATTTCTTAAAGGCGCCATACAACAGCATATAACCTTCTAGTAACAACTGCCAAATATAAGTTAGTATCATCAATGTTGGACTGAACTTTGTTCATTACAGCACTATCACTGAGATCTTATTTTACTTGTGGATTGTTTTAATAAAGTTTGCCCACATTTTGTCCATTTTCTAAGCACCCAGGGTCCAGTTAGTACCAGAAACTGTCATTGTTGACAGGATCATATTAGTCAGCATTCTAATTCAACTTAGTATGTAACACGAGTTCTAACTGGTCAATGCTATAAATTTCCGACCGTATAATCAGCATATACCGTCGCAATTTGAAAACCGATTCACCAAAACCTTTGAATGTATCCCTACTCTATTGGGGTAACGCTGTTTTGCAGGACATTGTCATTTGCAGAAGCCATTGGTCAATTCAATCCCCTATCCAGCTAAAATGGGTGGAATTTGTGTTAAAAATGACAAAACAGTATCATAAATTCCATTTTAAGTTCAAACAACTTACTCGCAACCGGCTTTTGACACAACACTGTTAGATCATGAAACAAGATTTATGACGTCATTATGGAGTGTGACGGCTGCTCATTTCTGTAACTAGAGGGCGGTTTCATCATAATTCCGTCCATTTTATCTATAATACTATGATCTATTCATCATTGTCAGATTTAGTCTGTGTGCACATAATAAAGTAGTTTGAAAAGGGAACTACTTTGCTGGTGATGGTGTAAGTTCAAGGAGTGATATGATTACAGCGTACAACGAGTTGAATTAGAATGGGGATAACTGTACTGTGTTTGACGAATTGGGGACGTATACCGGTGGTTATATAGCCGCAAATTTAGTTATATCGGCGACGCGTATATCAAAACAGCCTGTAATTAATCAAATGTGGGTCAGGTAAATCAGTGGCCGTTCCGTAAGCAGTAAGCAGTCTTGCAACTGATGTCAGGGTAAAACTAGACAATGATACATTTTGTCAGTCTCTTTCTGTTCAACCTTTAGCATCAAAGATGACATTCTTGTTTCCTCAACAATATGATGACTGAGCATATTATTCTAATGGGCTGGATACTGTGACCAACTGATCCTGATTTTAGTTGACAATCTGACCTTGACTCGCCAGGCCATCAAGCCTGGGAACAAGCTTTAGTTGATAGACATCAACACTTGCTGTCAACTTGTTACAAAATACAACAGTGAGTCAATTAGTTTTATCAATATTCCAGCAATATTATGGCAGAAGACACCAGAAATTGGCTTCACTCACTGTGCCCATGTGGGGAATCGAACCCAGGTCTTCAGCATGATGAGTGAATGCTTTAACCACTAGGCTACCCCACTGCCCCCTGCACCATATCAACAAAGTATAAACAGACAGGAAGAACCCATTTCACAAGGAGGGGGAGTGGCACCCAACAACCAAGTTCTACCCAACGGACATGTTCTACCCAATGCTCCCCACAGTATGTATAAAAGGGCACAAAATATAACATCGTCTGATAGTCATTAGGCAAGTAAAATAAAACAATTAGTGACTTTTTCTACATTTACAGTTAGATGCAGTGTCATTTTGGTCCGAAAGTGAAAATAAATATGTATATTGACCAGCAGAGGTACTTTCAACCTAATCTCTCCACCAAACATCATAGAGACCTATGCTGCACCATGGCATACAGTCTCCCTATTCTTCCCACAGAATAATATACAGACCAGTACTTCGAACCTCTGATGTTACAGCACTAACCTGAAATTCAACCCTTGGCGCTGGCACATGAGTATACGGCTTCTTGTAGTGTACAACAAGCTTTTCATCCTGTACGCCATTATTGGGCGTCATTGGCGCCGTACTTGGACACAGCATGATTTCAAATGTACAACATATGTTGAGGTGAAATCATGACGCTTGACAATAAAGTTTGTCATCCACTATCCACTACCATGCTGAATCAACTGCAGAAAAACACACCAGGGATATTTTGTCCATTCTTATTCCAGATCATCTATTTGTCAGATTGCCTTGTAACAGTCTGTATACACAGCATATATCTATCAGTAAACTTATGCTTGATAAGCCACATGTTCTAACCAATATGCTGTGCAATTATTTCTGAGCATCATTCAGTGCCAGCTGGTGCTATTGATTTGCTCAATAAGCTAAATATCTACATGCCATTCTCACTTTGCTGCTCGCCAGACAATGGCATAATTGTGAGTTAATTTACAGTGATTTACCTCCTGGGCCTGTGATTAAAGTCTGTTTCACTTACATTGAGCAAATGCTATGGAGATAGATTGACATATGATCCAAATAGAATTATTCATTGTCAAACTATGATCAGATTGCAATTCATTGCTGAATACAGTGACTTAGTGTTGTAACACTTCAGAACAGGAATATGGCAACGCAAAAAGTTTCAGCTTATATGTTTTCCATGGATTAAAGGACCTTCTTTGGAATCTGCAGTAATCTTGCAACTTCAAGCTTCATTACTGCTGCCTGGACTACCTGAATTGTGCATGCAGGACATACAGTGCTAAAAGGTAAAGTTACGTCAACATGTTTAAGGCCAAGAGAGTTATGTCCCTTTGGGGTGCCAGGATCATGTGATCATGAGCTCAAAACCAAACATGATTCTTTGTTTGAGCAAGGTAGTATACATCACTTCGAGATTTCCTCCCACACATATACTGAATTTATTATTACTGAAAAACTGTTCAAATCTGGAGTAATACATATCTCTCACTTTTAACATACATGGAATCAGTTCCATTAGAAGAAATTTTAAACACATGCATGTGATGTTCAGCATATTTGGTCTATCTGTTTAGAGATAATGGGATCCACATAATACAATGGTGGACAACAGTCCATATTCAGATAGGTCATGAAATAAACTCAAGATTATGTGGGCTGTGACCAGGTGAGCTAAATATTTTAAAAATTGAAAAATTCATGAAAGTGGTCAAAAGTAACACAGGTTTTTGGGGGGATTAGACTTTCTCAGTAAAGTGCAGACTATAATACTTTCGTTGGGCTGATTCAGACCCATCTAGGATTCGAACCCACACCCTCAGAGCCAGGCACCTAATTGCCAGCACACATAGTCAGCCATCTAACCCATCCAGCCACCGAGGCTTCCACGTGGCTAGATTTCATTTAATCCTGCTGACAACTGAATAACAAAGAGAAGGACTGAACAACACCTTCACTTATCATACTAAAAACTAGTCCCATTTTACACTGGGGATAACATCATACCTACATCTCTGTCCTCATAGATAATATTTCATTGGTAACATTTAACATTTAAAATCGAATTAATATTAAATAAGTCACTTATGAAAATTCTTGTCCAAGTGCCATTTTTGTTACCAGACAACATTTGGATATTTAGTGTTCATGTGTATAGCTATTCAAAAGGCATAAAGCACAGTTGAGAATTACAAATTGAGGCAGATACATACCGATACATTATGTAGCAAGTCATGCATCATATTGTTGAGTCTTATAATCTAGCTGCTCCAGCACATTGGTGAATCGTTTCAGCCTTAGTTTGTTTCCAGTAAAGTGAACTCATTCAACTGTATAAAGGTTTCCAATGATAGCAGGCCAAACAAAGACCACCTTAATCCTGGTTTGTTAAATGTCACACAAATTATGACATGCTTCAAACAGTTTCTTCTCTATTCACGTTTACTTCTGCTCTGAAGTACATCCTTCACGAAACTTGGTTGTCATCCACTAGATCATTTCCAGTGTCAAACAGTCCATGGATGTCAGACTTGTAAAACTATAGTCTGTTGCGGTGAAAACGTACTGATGAATTTCACTTTAAACAAAAAAGTAAATCAAATAAAGTGAAATTAAGATTGCAAATCCTCATAATTTTACCTTGCCATTTGAAAATTTAAATCTCAGAATTTTATTCAACTTAGGATATAGTTTCAAATCGGTATTATTGGTTTGTATTACAAGGGTGTATGCGCATTAAATGAAACACCGAGAACAAGGAGGGTTGGTCTAAGTTAACGCTCATCACGTACCACACGTGCATTTGTTTCACTGTTCCAACTACTGCGCTTACCCCCTTGTTATACAAACCAATATAAGCGATTTGAAACTATGATTGTTTGTTAAACAACTTTTTTCCTAAGTTGAATAAAAATCTAAGATTTAAATATTCAATTGGCAGGGTAGAGTTATGGGGATTCGCAATCTTAATTTCACTTTATTCCATTTACATTTTAGTTTAAAGTGAAATTCACCAGTACGTTTTCACTGCAAACAGACTATAACCACAACACACTCTACTGGTAGATGAAACAAGGGTTTTATGGTTGTTTATGTTTCTGTCATTTATGTAGAATAAGTAAATGATCATGTTACTGTAAAGTTAGACCTTTATCATGTTTATATTGAATGGTTTAATGATTACTGTGTAATCCTGGAAGGCAGTCGGGGAAAAATTAAAATAAATTCATTTCAGACATCTGTTGTGCTAGAGTTAGTCCCATCTCATCAACCTTGCAGTTTAATCTTTTCTATGCACATTTTGGGTTGTGAATAAACTGTTTTCAGGGGAAATATACAATGATTTCTTTATATAAAGCTTTTCATTATCATGGTCAGTAAAATCTAAAGTCTAGCATCAAATACAAAAACCTGGTTTGTATGGACTTGTTTAGTCTGTCTCAGTCCTGGACCACATTATCTTCCCATCTACCTTGCCCATTCTGCAATGCTAAAACCCAACATGAATTAAGTCTAGATTTACTCAGGTTCAGATTCTGAATCTCCTTTCTCTCCGGGGTTCCTTTTCAATTTAAAAGGAATTGTTTGGGCTTTTTTCAAAATTAGGCCAGACCAATTTTATTTCTTGTTTTACGGATCCTGCCTGTCGTATTTTTTAAAGAATAAGAAAAAAAATAAAAATTAATTTTCCCCGCTCGAAAAATAAAATTCTAATGTTTTTATTGGCCAAAAATGTAAACTTACAAGAAAATTTGTTTAGATTGTTTTTTGCCCCATATACACTTCATAAATTGCCAAAAGTAAAATACTTATAGTATTTAGAAGGAATATTACTTTGATTGGTGATTTTATTTATTTTATTTTTTTCCTCCTCCTCCAGGTTTTCGGAGGACAAAATCTGTAAAACAAGAAATAAAATTGGTCTGACCTTTAATATAAATATTCAGAGACTAAACGTTAGTCAAGGACTTGTTGAACACCAATAGTTTATCATGTGCTGCAGCTCTTACCTCGATGAGCTCTTCAACATCCTGCACGTCTCCTGGGACATCCGACAGGGCGTTAAAGATCTGGGCAGAGTTGTCCAGTGTCTTCAGCTCACTCTCCTGAAAGGAACAAATCCATATTTGTGAGCCTATTGCATCACAAAACTATGGCAGGTAGGGCAGGTTTTTAATTTGTTTTTCCTGATGATCAAACAACTGGTTTGTCTGGATAGTGGGGAAGGGGCTACACACTAGAACACATGGCATTTCAACCACCTTGCACATTTCATAAACTTTAATTTTTGTTTGTGTGCTTTGTTTTGCTAAACGCCAAAGTCAATGAAAATTGCTTCTTTTTGACAGCAGCCTGTAAATGCATAACACTGGACTAGACCAACCAGTGACTGATAGACACAGGTTAGAATTGGTCTTCAGCAACCCAAGTGTGTTGATAGAGGCGATTAACGGGATCGAGTGGTCAGGCTCCCGGACTTGGTTGATGCATGTCATGGTATCTGAATTGCACAGATTAATGCTCATGATGTCGATTACTAGGTTGTCTGACCCAGATTCAATTTTTTACAGATTGGCATCAATGGTTGAGTGTTGTGTTTATTAATAAACAAACAAAACAAAACTTAAGCTTTTGTTATCTTACCACCTTTCACAAAACAGCTTAAGGACCGTTCATAATTTATGGCAAGGGGTGGGGTGATGATGATTTTTATGTTGAAACATGTACAATGAGAATGACACCCCCCAATTTTACGTACAAAGTCAGTGACCCCCACTTGCATAACATGTACAAAATCAATTACCCCCTGCCCCCTTCCCATAATTTTTTAGCCTAATTTTAATTATTTTTTATAATGTACAAAATTGCTGACCCCTCCTAGTACATGTGTACAAAATTTAATGACCCCCACCTCCCCAGAACAAAATGGATGCCCCCCATCCTCCATTTAAATCATCACACACACACACACACACACACACACACAGCCTTACACATCTTAATATGACTAAATTGTAAATATATGTATCAGAAAATGATGTAAGTGTCTCGTATCAACTCCAGCAAGATAGGTGTCAAGGTCAAGGCTACATATCTTTTGAGAGTTAATGCCAAAGTGTTCAATCTTACATTAAAACCAAATACCACATCACTAAAGTTTCAAACAAAATCAGTAACTAAAAGAGAAAATTTGCAAAAGAAACATCCAAGATTTGATGACACGTTTTGGAAATGTTGAGTCAGCATAAATTGAACGAAGTAACCCAAAACAACAGCCTTACTACATGCCGGTTCCTTGGTCTGACTTCCAGATAAACATGATGACTTCGAGCCGGAACCATCATAGAGCAGTAGAAATAGACATTTACTACAACTACTTCAGAATCAGCAAATAGGAACGATGATTACGCAAACATTTACACCTGATTGTTAGTACTCCTAGGTGAAACAGCCATAAACTTAACACAATACAAACTGACCTACGTTTATGTGACATCACAATTCAGGCTACCATAGACGTCAAGAATCGAGCTGGAAATGTAAAACTCCCAGCTGTCACATGACAACAGGTGTGCCAGATTAAATTGGCAATTACCTGCTCACTATTGGTCTTTAAATAATCATTAACAAAATATACAATAGTGTCTGATGGTTAAGTCTTGATTAAATTTAAAAAACCCACAATAATAATCTAACGATGTAAAAATACCAATTTGATTTAAATTGAATACAAAGAAAAATGTATGTTGGTTCAGCCAAACAAGCAAATAAAAATCGAGTTGTTAAAAGTAAAAATAGTACATACAAAAAATCTATGTCTTTTTTAAGTCAATAACTATAAATTTAGAACTTGAAGGCGTAACAGGAGATGGGCAAATTCTTTATTGATTATCATTAATGTTCAGAAACAGTTTCCCTGGAAACTAAAAAAACATCCTTTATCATATTTATCATTGAGTATACAGTGGAACCAACGTATCCAGACCTCAGATATTTTGAAACCTTGCATAACAGATGATATTAATGTGAAATTAAATATTTACTACATAAGATGCTTTATTTAGCTGGAAATCTGGCTTCTGGATCTAAACAATGAATTTCAACTACCAACAGTGGAAAATACAGCTTACTGTGTCTCACTTACCAGCCATGCCCATGCATATTACCTTATCTAGCCTTGAAATAGAAGTTACCGGTAGTTGACAATGGATGAATATATCATGAATGTCATACTTTGACTCATTAAAAGTCATATTTGTTGAAGCATGACAATTATTTTCTAACACAACATTTTAACAACAGAACTAGCAAGGCCAAGGGAAATCTGAATGATGACTGATCAAGCACTGAACGTCAAAATATATACAGCAATAGCTATACGATGCACCAAAGTGGTACAATTATCATTATAAAAAGGCACAATGTCCAACATTTTCGACAATATTGGCCTAAATTATATACATTGGGGGCATATGCACTCAATTCAGCTTCCTATTGATGCAATAAAAGACTTATTATCCCTTACGATTTGCCTGAAATCGATAATAGAAACTTCGAGGCGAACAGCTTCGAAACAGATTACACTAGCGTAAAAGATTGCTCCGTACATCGAAAACTATCGTGTTGTGGGTGATTGCCGAACTAGTTTCACTCACAAGTTGTGCATGGGATATTCATAAAGAGCGCTCAAAGGGACATAACTCTATGGGGGTTCGCTTGAAATAATGTTCGACCAGTAGAAGGCGTGAGAGTCGATTTAATGCAACGTTGCATTAATTCATTCAAACATTTGATACTGTAATCTAAATACGTAAACAAAATTGGAATAAATGATATGGTTGCTTCCCTGAATGTTGATAGTTAGTATTATTGAGAGAAATGCATTATCAATGTTTAGAGAAGTGTGACGTAACATTGTGCCTTTAATATTTTACATATATTATAAACAGTGAACACTGCAACTAAAATAACACAATATTGGAATATATTGTTCCTGATATAAATTAGTGTCGAATACAATTAATTCCAGCTATTGAACACAATTTGGCTGTATATTAAAAAGACAGCTGCTTTAAGCCAGTCCCTTGTATAAAGTTAGCAGCATACACTTGGAAACTCTGATTGAGTGAGTTAATACATAACATCACATCAGCATTATTTCAGCCATATTGAACTGATTGGTCTGTGTGAATTAGAAAGGTTTCTGACACCTTCTCAAATGGGATCGACAGTACCACTAACAGTTTTAATAAGTTAACATGTTTTTGCCAAGACTTGTCCAGATTTACTGTCACTGTTCACTACACATAGTTAACACATTTTATTATGGTAAAAGACAAGATCAAAGACACTGTCATCTAAAGAGACAAAAGAAAGTTACATTTGATGTCTTGCAGATGGGACTCACTCACAGAGTCTGTAGGGTAAGTCTTGACTGATCAAAGACCAGTGCCATTCCTATAACCTCAGTACTCAGATCGAGTTTACAATACTCAACAATCAGTTGGCAACGGTCCAATCTTCTGTGTCAATACTGCAGTTTAACTCAATGCTCCAGACAATTTCTAAGGTGTTCTTAACTTCTCTTTCAAGACTGAATGAGTATGGTTTTATGCCGCTTTTAGCAATATTCCAGCAATATCACGGTGGGGGACACCACACATTGTATCCATGTGGGGAATCAAACCCAGGCCTTCAGCATGACAAGCAAACGCTGTAACCAGAAGGCTACCCCAAAGCCCCAATTTCTCAAGAGCCAAGTTTTGTTTCATTAATCACAATGTACACAGAGCATGGATATATTATAAGTATTTTCTATGTATTATTCCAGCTTACTTGTGTGAAAGGAAATATATCACTTGCTCTATATTATGTAAAGCATGCATGAATTATTTTTAAGTTGTAGAGCAAATGACAAGATGATAATTTCATTCTTATTAAAAGTTTGCATTGAAAGGAGATGTTATTGTACAGAGCCAAACAGAAAAATGGATTTGTCAATTTTGCTGCAAACATTGTGATGAAAATGAATATCCATTTTCACTTGTATGCAAATATAACTTTAAAATAAGAAACAATTATATTAATAAAATATACTATAAATTACATAAATTTATGTCAGAGCCATCCACAAATGTCAATGTTATACACAACTGCTGAATATATTATTCAAGCTGCTCATGTGCAACCATAACTGTAATCATGGGTCCCAAACTCATTACATGATGAATAAGAAATGAATTCAATAATTTATTAGAGTGCCTTCATGCACTGATTACTCATTTCAGCTGTGCCTTTACTAATGTTCTGTGACTCTGTTTTGTTTGCCTGTATTTCTGTTGTTTTTTTCTTTAAGGTCATAATCAGCAATTTTCCAGTTATATGATTTCAGTCTGTAAATAAACGAATTTGGTCCAGACAATCCAGTGATTGACATCATGAGCCTCAATCTACCTCCAATTGGGGACAAGCATGAATCAAGTTAGCGAGTCTGATCACCCGATCTCTATAGTTGCCTCTTACAACAAGCATGGGTTGGTGAAGCCCAACTATAACACGGATCTTCACAATCTTGTTTATAGATAGCTGCAACATCAACAGCTGGTCTATGTTCCACAAAGCTAACATAGTGCTATGACCGTCTTGAGTCTATGTGAAGCATTGGAGTTAGGATCATCTCATAGCCACGATATCTTTGTAGGATGAGTGAGTGAGTGAGTTTAGTTTTACGCTGCACTCAGCCATATTCCAGCTATATGGCGGCGGTCTGTAAATAATCGAGTCTGGACCAGACAATCCAGTGATCAACAGCATGAGCATCGGTCTGCGCAATTGGGAACCAATGACATGTGTCAACCAAGTCAGCGAGCCTGACCACCCGATCCCGTTAGTCGCCTCTTCTGACAAGCATAGTCATAGCGTGGGTTGCTGAAGACCTATTCTACCCCGGATCTTCACGGGCCCTTTGTAGGATGAGGCCCAGAATGATTGTTGAGTGCTACATTCAACAAAAGTTACACTTGTGATAAGAGTTGATACCTCTATAGTCTGGAATCTCAAGGTCTTGTAAAGTCTAGAAAAAACAATGCCTGTTTGTGAGAACACACTCTGCTTTCTTGACAGAATGACATATTAGTCTATAATAATATTGTGGTTCCCATAACCTGATCAGCCCTAAGTTAATGTGCCAATCCAAATTTGGTCTTAGTGGTCTCCGTAATAAATCACAGAGCACATAAGAAAAACATATATAAACACGTTTAGATTTACACTAGTTATGAACAATGTTTCAGTGTTTGTGAAAAGAAATGAATCAATTACTATCTAAAAACTACCCAATTTAGAGTTTCTATTAAATTTAAGCAGAACCACAATATTATTTCTAATATGCATTGACAGATCCATTCCGCTATTAAACATTAGTCACAAGCAGATGCAAGCAAGCAAATGACCCACCTTCAGTTTCAGCATGCCCATGGTAATTTGGAAGAGTACAACTGACCCTTCATAAAAGAACAAGTCCCATAGACTGAGCAGCACCTTCATGTGCACAACACTGGCAAACAGGGTGAGGAACCAGTGCAGGCTGATGAGGGACAGCTCTGAAACAAACAGGACAGCATGCAGGAGCAGCAGCTAGGGAGCATTCAGTTAGCATGGTTAGTGGTTAGTGGTCAGGGATGTTCAAAGACGACCTGCTTACCAGCTGTCCAGCAAGACAAAACCACCATTAGGACAGTAAATGATTCAGGATCACAGTTCTGGTGAGTCTTTGATTCAAATCAACAATCATCCAAGGGACACAAGTCTGCAAAGCAAGCTGCAGCACCTTACAAGACTGGGTCACCTTTTCACCACACTTTGTAAGCAGGTTAGTATCTAGTAAAACTAATTCGTTAGTGTTTCCAAGCAGAGCAAAAGGTTACAGGCTTAAAATGATTTGACTTACGACCTAGTAGTCATGCTTCATGCTCATTCATCAATGGACATGATGGATGACAGGCTACCATTACAGTGAAACAAAATGACTTTTTCCATCAAATTGTGTCATATTTGATGGCCATAATTCAGAAGAATCAAGATTTCTTGTTTACTGACACAGTACAAACCTTATTCACTTGCTATTCACAACTAGTTCTACTGTTATTAACACAATAACAGATCCAATACACAACACTCACAGTTTCCAGTGTTGAATGGTGAGTGAGTAGGGTTAAATGTTGCTTTGAACAGTATCCAGTTACATCAGTGTGTCAAGTAATGTTGGAGGAAACCCCTAGGTGATGCAGTTCTCACACAGGTACCACTCGGGTGATGCCCATGAGTAAGGTAATGTGAGGTGAAATGGGGTTTAACGTCATACTTAAGAATATTTCGCTCATATGACGATGTGCATGCATGTGTATGTGTGGCTGCTGGTACTGGCCCAGACTTAAGCTGCTTTTATAGTCCTAGCTCATTGAGATACCATGCCTCAGTTAAGCATGAATACCCCACTCAGACACATTATACTGACTCCGAGCCGACCAGTCCTTGTTGTACCCATTAATGCTGAGCGCCAGGCAGGGACCAACAAGTACCATATTTTAACGTCTAATGGTATGACTACACCACGGAGATGGTCCCAAACCCGGAAACATAAGCAGAGCCAACCAGGGTTCAAACCTACAAGGGAGACAACACTGTACAGTGAACAGATGACTGAGCCACATTTGTGTCCTTGTGAGCTGAAAGGAGCCTGGGAATTGAACAGCATTGACGGTATATAGGAATTAATTACCCTAAAGTAAAATACAGTGGAAGCCCTCTAAACCGGCATGTTCTCAATATCGGCCCTTGAATTTGGTCCCGGCAGAAGCTAGTTAATTTATGATCATATACACGCCCTCTAATCCAGCGTCAGTCTATTCCGTATTTCGGCACAACAAAGACCGCCCAAGTAACTGATTGTACAGTAATTAACACTCTCTAAACCGGCATCCAGTATCTTGGCTCTCCTGTTGATTGGCTGATTGGCTGAACGTGTATTAACAACACAGTGGATTACCATTGGCATTAAGCACATAGATGTTGCCTGATAAAAGGAGTATGGTAAATTGGTGAGTGACACGTGTCAGTTGTATTATAAATTAATTTTCGTGTGAAAGAAAACAGTAAATTTTACAAACTTAACACACTAATGCATGATTGCTTTTTGACTGCCCGCGTGGATATGCGCCTGAAGATGTCTTTAACTGCATTTGTTTTTCCCTGCTTCACCGGATGTTATCTTTATTGTTGAATAAAGAATATGATGACTATCAACACGTTGTATTTTAGGCACAGTCGTATGTTACGGCACACAGAAAATCATTCTCAGGTTGAAAAAGGAAAGGTTCGCTAAACCGTACGCCCTCTATACCGGCTTTTTTTGCCGGTCCCAATGAATGCCGGTTTAGAGGGCTTCCACTGTACACAATATCACTATGGGGTGCAACATCATCAAAGAGTTTCTACATACTCTTCATACTATTGAACATCTTACCTATGTCGTGTTCCTTCAAGACAAGGTCAACATCCGGCAGGTAGCTTATGAGCAGCTGCCTCAACACACGCTGGTCAGCCTGTGGGTCAAACACAACATGACACAGTGTTAGCATCATGCGCCTCAAACCCTGTTGCTTGTAATAATTCAAAAGACCAAATTCAAAACCTGTAGTACATTACTGTCATACCTGTGCCAACAACAAAAGATTTAGTATGGATTTCATGGAAGTAAAAATTATTTTCTGACAATGATAATGGACTACATCATCCAAACATACATCATATCCAAACAAATACTTTGTTCAATCATTGAGTGCCTATCAAGTGTCTACGGACTGACTGACCTGTATGCCTACGAGGGTGCTGGAGTAGTAGGACTGACTGGCCTGTATGCTTATGAGGGTGTTGGAGTAATAGGACTGACTGACCTGTATGCCTACGAGGGTGTTGGAGTAATAGGACTGACTGACCTGTATGCCTATGAGGGTGCTGGAGTAATAGGACTGACTGACCTGTATGCCTTATGAGGGTGCTGGAGTAGTAGGACTGACTGACCTGTATGCCCTACGAGGGTGCTGGAGTAGTAGGACTGACTGACCTGTATGCCTATGAGGGTGCTGGAGTAGTAGGACTGACTGACCTGTATGCCTATGAGGGTGCTGGAGTAGTAGGACTGACTGACCTGTATGCCTATGAGGGTGCTGGAGTAGTAGGACTGACTGACCTGTATGCCTAATGAGGGTGCTGGAGTAGTAGGACTGATGAGGGTGCTTGGAGTAGTAGGACTGACTGACCTGTATGCCTACGAGGGTGCTGGAGTAGTAGGACTGACTGACCTGTATGCCTATGAGGGTGCTGGAGAGGTAGTGAGGGTGCTGGAGTAGTAGGACTGACTGACCTGACCTGTATGCCTAATGAGGGTGCTGGAGTAGTAGGACTGACTGACCTGTATGCCTATGAGGGTGCTGGAGTAGTAGGGACTGACTGACCTGTATGCCTAAGTGAGGGTGCTGGAGTAGTAGGACTGACTGACCTGTATGCCTATGAGGGTGCTGGAGTAGTAGGACTGACTCTGACCTGTATGCCTAATGAGGGTGCTGGAGTAGTAGGACTGACTGACCTGTATGCCTATGAGGGTGCTGGAGTAGTAGGACTGACTGACCTGTATGCCTAATGAGGGTGCTGGAGTAGTAGGACTGACTGACCTGTATGCCTATGAGGGTGCTGGAGTAGTAGGGACTGACTGACCTGTATGCCCATGAGGGTGCTGGAGCAGTAGGACTGACTGACCTGTATGCCTATGAGGGTGCTGGAGTAGTAGGACTGACTGACCTGTATGCCTATGAGGGTGCTGGAGTAGTAGGACTGACTGACCTGTATGCCTATGAGGGTGTTGGAGTAGTAGGACTGACTGACCTGTATGCCTATGAGGGTGCTGGAGTAGTAGGACTGACTGACTGACCTGTATGCCCTATGAGGGTGCTGGAGTAGTAGGACTGACTGACCTGTATGCCTATGAGGGTGTTGGAGTAGTAGGACTGACTGACCTGTATGCCTATGAGGGTGCTGGAGTAGTAGGACTGACTGACCTGTATGCCTATGAGGGTGCTGGAGTAGTAGGACTGACTGACCTGTATGCCTATGAGGGTGCTGGAGTAGTAGGACTGACTGACCTGTATGCCTATGAGGGTGCTGGAGTAGTAGGACTGACTGACCTGTATGCCTATGAGGGTGCTGGAGTAGTAGGACTGACTGACCTGTATGCCTATGAGGGTGCTGGAGTAATAGGATGCTGGCAACAGGTCCTCTATGATGGCACACATCATCCAGAACGTGTCCTCCTCTTCCAGGAACAGCAGAAGGGAGGCAGCAATCTGCAACACAAAAATTTGAGTTGGTTAGGCGGCTGACTTTGTATGCTGGGGAATTATTAGGTGCCTGACTCTGGGGTGTGGGTTCGAATTCCGGATGGGACTCAACCAAACAAAAGTACTCAGTACTTTACTGAGAAAGTGTAATCCCACATTTCATGTGTTACAAACATTTCATCCTTGTAATCTCTGCTGACATAAACACTGACGAGAGAGACCAAGTGAGTTTGACTAAATGCTGCTTGGATGTACCAGGTCAGCCCAAAGTGATGCATGTCTCAGACGTTTACCACCCAAACCTGGAAACATAATTAGGGCGAATGTATGATTCCACAATCAGAGGTTTCTGGCAACACAAAGGGACACAACTCAGCACAGCAAATTGAGGTACCTTAATGACTGGGCCACGTGGGCCAACAGAACAGTGAAGACTATGCAGAAGTGAATGAGTGAGTTTAGTTTTACGCCGCACTCAGCAATATTCCAGCTATTTGGCTGCGGTTGGTAAATAATCGAGTCAGGATCAGACAATCCAGTGATCAACAGCATGAGCATCGATCTGCACAACTGGGGACCGATGACATGTGTCAACCAAGCCAGCCAGCCTGACCACCCGATCCTGTTGGTCGCCTCTGACGACAAGCATGGGTTGGACATCAATTCTAACCCAGACCTTCATGGGTACGATGCAGAAGACATACCATGACTTATATATGTACCTAGCAGCATGGTCAATCTTGTACAGCTGTTGAGACATGTAAAACTTTATCATTAAGAGTTACTTTTATTGGAAAGATTTTATGAGACATTTAGACCTATTTTGTTCCAGTGACCAGAATGCCGACTCTACCTCAAACAGAGTAAACAGTAGTATGATGTCATGTAACATTAAACATAATGTCATGACGTCCATTCAGCTAGACAACCAGTGACTGACCAGTCTAATAGCTACAGTGAAATCTATATTGAGTGAGTTGGGTTTTATGTCGCTTTTAGCTATATTCCAGCAAGAGCACAGCAGGGGACACCAGAAATGGGCTTCACACATTGTATCCTTGTGGGGAATCGAAAGGATGCCTTCAGCGTGACAAGCAAACGCTTTACCTACAAGGCTACCGCACCGCCCCACATAAACTAAAGAGACTTTCACTGTTCTTTCTACTTAGACGGTGGACCCAATTGAGATTATAGCAGGTATATAAAAACATGAACGAAATAAAATAAAGATGAGGTAACCTATATTATATTTGGGATTACACTTTCTTAGTAAAGTACAAATTCTAGTTCTTTTTGAGTTGAGCCCCATCCGGGATTCGAACTCACATCCTCAGAGTCAGGCACCTAATCGCCAGCACGCAAAGTCAGCCGCCTAACCCGCTCAGCTACCACGACTTCCACAAAAATGGAAGTCGGACAACTGGTAGTCTAGACTACGGGCTTTGTGTACCCCTCTGATAAGTGTTAATTGGCACGGCTCCCACGGCCGAAGGCTATGATTACACAATCATGCTGGCGATTAGGTGCCTGACTCTGAGGGTGTGACTTCGAATCCCGGATGGGGCTCAACTCAAAAAGTACTAGAATTTGTACTTTACTAAGAAAGTGTAATCCCAAATACAACATATGTTACATTTGATCACTTTCTAAATGGCATTGTGTAATCAAAGATGAGGTAGTAAGCAATATTCCACAACAAATATGTGGTACAGAAATTGGCATTAGTCAGAATCTGGTTTCAACAGATTCCAAATGTCTTGATGGAACAATGGCTGTTTCAAAATATCTACCATTCAAAATTCAACATAGAGGCAGCACACTTAACGTTTAAGAAACAGCTGCTCAAGCAAAGGATAGAAGTTGATGTCTTGCTTTCAAAGGGTCAGTTCCTTACAAATATCTGTGTATACCTTTTAAGTTTTTGAATGAGAATGTATTGATAAAACTTCTAATGTGTTTCTCTGTAGAATGATATAAACTAGCGAGACAATCCATTGTACTCACCACGCCCGTCCCTTGACAGTATCCAATGTCCGGATACAACCACGCTAGGCCTCGCAGGATACGCCGTAGTCGAGGTACACCGGTGCTGTTGATGTTGCAGAAACATGTGTTGCTTGGCATTGTTCGAAGTAGATCCTAAATAGAGGAATTATGAGCAGCTGTAGATATCAAGTATAAGATAACTCATCTTCTAGACACATAAAAAGAGTCACATATTGCTGTTTGTTGCTGGTGTCTTCAGTAAACAAGTTTAACTTGGCTCCCAACTATCACCATGATAATTTCTTGTTTTAGGTTATTGTTCAAGGAACATCACAGTTGGTGGTCAAAATAAAAATAAAAATATAATACATAACACAGATATTGTTGAGACCATAAAAGTAGCATGAAGAGTGATAAGAAAACTGAGAAAAGTTTTAGAGTTACTTCCCTTCGTGAACAGACCTATGTTGAGTCATAATTCAGAACAGATAATTACTTCTGAAAGTATATGTTGGAAGATATACAAACCAAATCCTCATAAACAAAACCTGATCACATATAAACTGCAGCTATCACTGACCATTCACTGCTATCAAGGAAGAAGCATCCACAAATGTGTCTGCTGTTGATAATGTATCAAAAAAGGTGTTGATATTGCTCACTTTTTCAATTTGCTTTGATGTCATCAGATGATCATTGGCACTGGCTTTAACTACATCTTTGTAGGTAAGGTCTGATTTCAGCTTCTTCGCCAGAGCCCCAGACATCCTCATCCAGATCTGTGGCCGCAGAGAGTGTGGGATGCCTTGTCGTACCATTCCTTTAAGTTTCTCCGATCTCGGCAACTGTGACTCCACCTGGCATGGAATGTAAGGCCACCACCATCATCATCATCATGGTCATCATCATCGCCGCCATCATCATCATCAACATATTCAAGGCCATGGAAAGTGTATGACTCACTATACTCACCTTTCAACATTCAAACTTTTTTATAAATTAACCAAGAGCACTTATCAGGCAGCTTCATGATAAAATAGAGCAATATCCCATGAATGTTTGAAATTCAATGAACCCTTATGATTCCATCATTTCCAGGAATCCCATTTCAGCAACATTACACTAACCACTCAATTCACTGCCGTGGTTCTTGTGATCACAAACTCCCTGCCCTTGATTGCTGTCTTTACTTGAACGAATTGGTGAGTTTGGGGATTTAACACCACACTGAAGACTATTCCAGTTATATGACTGTATGTCATCTTGTTGTGAGAAGAAAGCCTGAAGTTTTATTTGTTGTAAATGACATGTATCAACCATGTCAGCAAAGCCTGACAACCCAATACATTCAGTTGTAGGGATGCATGATACATCGATACTTTTTCTTGGACGATACTATTATCGATACATTCCAAATCATTTTAAATATGTTAATGTATCGGTTACATTTTGCAATTATATCATTTTTTTAAATGTTATGAGAGTTATAAACCATTATTTTCCATGCAGAAAAATTGGAAATTAGAACTTTTTAATCTCTGAGAATCAAAATTGTTGATCTTTTCATGGACAATTATAAAATATGAAATATTAATGTTCAAAATGTAACTAAATTTACGCAATAATGCCATGAAAATAGATATCATGATATGTATCGAAACGTGACATGGGTATCGTGAACCAATTCTAACTTGAATTCACAGGCAAAAAACCTGCAGTGACAGTTCCCAAATTCCTACCACTTTGGTGCAACCCACAGGCACAGGCTGACAAACACCAAAACATGATCTAAACAAACCAGGATTCAAATCCATGATATCTATGAGCTCCTGTTGAGACCAATTGAACACAATGTCATTTGTATTTATCATGTTTATGACAACCGCTGATTTGAGGTAAACTCTCTGACAAGGAATATCAAGGAATTGTACCTTGTCCCACGTGAGGTCTCCGACTTCGTTGTTGTGTGTGAACTCGAGGTACGCTGTCCACTTGAGTCGATGCTGAGGGTCCTCAATGAATGGTGTACTAAGCAGCTTACTGGAGTTTTCTTCAGGACCATCTGAAGCCAAACCAAGGATGGAATCATGTTTTTACCAATTTGCACCTCTGACAGGCCTTATCTAGACCTGCTCAGAAGCTGATAATTGATACCAAGTCAGAAGCAAATGCCAGCAAATTTCCCAAATTAGAATTAAATGTTCCCAGTTCATTTCAAAATAGTTTAATGAATGTTATGACTTAAGGTAATTGCATATCACTGACACCAGCACTGTCAAACAAGAAGAGGCTTTAACATATTAAAGGTCACATGCAACCAAAAAATCAAACATAATTAAAACACAATTATCACTTAGTCATGACATATAATATACATTGCTGGTTATGAAAAAACATATAAACAAAATTATAAGCGTACAATCGCAAATCAAAAGTGCAATATTGTGTACTTGGGTTTACTTCCCAAGAAACGAAGCAGCCGGGATACCGAACCCAGTCAGAGCGGGTGGGTGTGCACTCAAGTGTAACGGCTGGTTCATTTGCATATGCCCTCACGGCTCATTGTGTGTGTATATATAGAGATGTTGGGTTTTGTAAATACATGCTCATTTTTTGTGTATAACATTTTGCAATCAACAGACATCATAACATGTCATGTGTTCAACTATCACACCTGCCTGTCTGTGTAATTACATAATGTGACAGAGACCGAACTCGGGCCATAAATCAATGCATTTTGTTTATGGTGTATAGCCTGATTGGTGTTAAGTTCAAATTGCATGTGGTCAGTGATAGCAGCTGTGTATTGAATATTGTCATTAGCAGACAGGCAGGCAGACACACAGGTGTCAATAAAACAAGACATTGAGTTTTGTCTGTGACAACGACATATCTATATCACAGTTAGAAATTCTGTCAACGCTAAATAATGACATTGCTTTTAAGTATCGAACTGAGAAAGTGACTTCGGTAAGAAGAACGTGTGGTGAAATAGACAAATGAAATTATATAAACAGTTAAGTTACTGTCATAACATATAAAAGCTTCGCCTGTGAGATATCAACAAAACATTAGAAAAATAGCTCACACCAAAGCCTTCACCGGTATTCACGGACAACCCGGCTTCCAAGCTGCGTGAACCTATTTCACTGCGCACGTGCTATGAGCGCAGCCCAGCTGTTGAAACCAGTTTTTCCGAAAAGTCGGGGAAAATTAGTGAAACGTTTGAACGCAGTTTTTTTCATCGCGTTATTTTTCAACTTTATAAGTTGAATTTTCATTTTTGACGATTTGTTTCGGTAAGTCCATACCGAAAAGTATCAGAATCTGCAAAGTTGTGTTTTACGTTGCATGTGACCTTTAAATACTTATATAATTATTGCATGCATAAATACCTCAGAACTGAAGAAACACAATTCTGAACAAAATATTTTATGCCCTTAATTTCTATATCAAGTGCACTTATCCTTTTAGATTCCTAAAATAAATGCATGAGTGGTATCAATAATATTTTCTTAACTGGCAGCTGGCCCCTAATCATGTTAATGGCACTTAACTTAAAGGTCACATGCAACATAAAACACAACTTTGCAGATTCTGATACCTTTCGGCATGGACTTACCAAACAAATCGGCCAAAATGTAAATTCACCTTATAAAGTGGAAAAAAAGCCGATGAAAAAGCTGCTAAATCGCGAGTTCAAACGTTTGAACTAATTTTCCCAGACTTTCTGGGGAAAACTGGTTTCAACAGCTGGGCAAGCTCATAGCACGGCGCAGTGAAATAGGTTCGCACAGCTTGGAAGTGGGTTGTCCGGTGAATACTCGGTGAAGGCTTTGGTGTGAGCTATTTTTCTAATGTTTTGTTGATATCTCACAGGCTGAAGCTTTTGTATGTTATGACAGTAAATAAACTGTTTATATAATTTCACCACACGCTCTTCTTACCGAGTCACTTTCTCAGTTTGATACTTAAAAGCAATGTCATTATTTAGCATTGACAGAATTTCTAACTGTGATATAGATATGTCGCTGTCACAGACAAAACTCAATGTCTTTGACACCTGTGTGTCTGCCTGCCTGTCTGCTAATGACAATATTCAATACACAGCTGCTGTCACTGACCACATGCAATTTGAACTTAACACCAATCAGGCTATACACCATAAACAAAATGCATTGATTTATGGCCCGAAGTTCGGTCTCTGTCACATTATGTAATTACACAGACAGGCAGGTGTGATACTTGAACACATGACATGTTTTGATGTCTGTTGATTGCAAAATGTTATACACAAAAAAATGAGCATGTATTTACAAAACCCAACATCTCTATATATACACACACAATGAGCCGTGAGGGCATATGCAAATGAACCAGCCGTTACACTTGAGTGCACACCCACCCGCTCTGACTGGGTTCGGTATCCCGGCTGCTTCGTTTCTTGGGAAGTAAACCCAAGTACACAATATTGCACTTTTGATTTGCGATTGTACGCTTATAATTTTGTTTATATGTTTTTTCATAACCAGCAATGTATATTATATGTCATGACTAAGTGATAATTGTGTTTTAATTATGTTTGATTTTTTGGTTGCATGTGACCTTTAACACCAACTTAAGCTGGTGGTCAAAACACACACTGGCTAAACATCAACCAAATCCCTTTATGGCATTAATGTTGGGAACATCTATATATCTTTAAACAAATAAGATGTTATTATTTAACGTATTGACATACAACATTATTTAGTGGTCTTTATATATACCAGTTACAGATATATTTTCTGATATTTATTATCACAGGCACTGACTGTTGATTTCACAGAAAAAACAGGTACTGATTTACTTAAATTCAAACAAAGAATATAGGAAAAATGGTAGGAATATACAACTAAAACAACAGCACACCTTCCTCTTCTACTTTGAATCCAAACTCATCGTAACGGTAATCCAACTGTCCTGTGGGGTCTTCCTCTGGCTGAAATATCAACATAAGTTAAACCTGCTTTGTCTTGGGATCACACTCATCAGGCTCATGTCATACACAAACAATCACAGGAACAAAATAATTTCAGATAATGGAAAGTGTTACTGATGCAATAAAGTTGGAATTATGTTCATGTGAGATCACCTATAAGCATAAGAATGATATGCATGAGAAGAAACTATGCTTATTCTAAAAATGTAGATGGAATGCCTTCTCGATCAATAACCTCTGTCCAATTATACTTTTAGAATATTCATATCCACACTGCTGTTTAAATATTACTTATTGATTGTTATGGACTACGTTTGCTAAACTTATGATAACATCACACAACCTGAAGGACAAATAGTTAGCGATCATTTACACATTTGATGTATTTTAGTAGTTTAAGGCAGTGTTCACGAATGGTGTTTCAAAGTAACAGGACATTGGGCCCTGTAAGTTTCAGATGTCTGCCTGACCCATTGAAAATTCACAGGACCCATAGAATAAAATTAAACATACATTTCAGATTGAACATTTCTTATAATTGGTATTGAAATTATTAACAAACATAAGATTTATGAGCAGCAAACAAGTGTCACATGTCACATATAACAACTTCAGTCAAAGTCATTGTGAAATATACAGTCAGACACTGGGGCTGGCAGGTTGTAGACTTCTGTCGGACCGTTGGTGAATCTGCCGGATTTGTCAGAGGGGCAGACGCTATTCGTGAACACTGTTAAGGCTTGTGTAAGGACAAGAAGTAGCCCTTAAAGTTGTTTATTGTTTTTATCTCTATGTCCATAACATTCCTTGTCATATTTACATAAAATTCTAAATGAGTACAAAGATTCTCTATGTTCAGATGGTGAAGGTCTTTTCAAGGCAGGTTCAAATTTATTTAAGAACTTTTCAACATTGATAGCATTTGAAATCAAGGATGAAAGGACAGGTCCTTGACTAGGTTGACAAAAAAAATATATGATGAGGACATAATCTTACAGCATTGCCAAATTTCAGAATGATGTCTTGGGGCCACATGGAAGGTGTGAGTGCTGAGAAGTGTCCCCCAGGGGAGGGTATAAACCCCCCACTGCCTGTGAAAGAGGGTGTGGCACTGATGCTGATGCCTTCTCCTGTACATATGCTGACAATGTCTTCTTCATCCTCAGATAGCGTTTCCACTGAAACATAAGAACATTTCATTGAACTATGGCAAAATTTATATAATTGACCCCCGAATATTCTCCTGGATTCTGCTATCACAACAAATGACAGAACTCTCCCGTGAGGCCCTCACTCCTGTTGACAGAGCATTGATAAGTACTAGAAATAATGCCAAGGTACTGCAGATCACCATGCTTATATGGATATGTAGTCAACAATTCAAAACATCAGCAAAGACATCACACATAGTTGCAATACACAACAGTTAAGTTCACTTTACACAAAATACCTATAAGGCATACATGATGATGATGATGATGATGATGATTTTAATTGTCCTATCACGAAACATGCAAAAATGTTCTACAAAAAACACACAAAAATCCAAATGATGTGAACAAAATATGACATCATAAATATCATAATAGTTAAAAACAAATAAGCCAAAGTTCAGATTTTTCAGTCTGGCAAATTCAAACGCCAAGATGTTTTTTTTCTAAAACATCTCACACGATCAAAAGTACTGTACTGTTTTCAAAATCTAATCCAGGAAAATTCCATTTATATACCCCTCACAAAACAGTTGTTGCGTATATGAAAATGATAAGAGAATGGAGATTTGTGTTTAACTTTGCCCCTCTATATTTTTTAGCAATTCCTAAAATATAATACATTAAAAGACTTCAAAACAAATGGTCATATATTTCATAAACATTTTAGACACAACGGAACTTGTGCAATTTACACTGATCTAAAGTTTGTTCAGAAGACAGAAGGGACAAAGATGGAAGGGTCTTATTGTCCAAGTTGCAGCAATTCACTGTCTCCAATAACAAGTCCAGTTTAGGCAGGCACCAGATCGTGAAACCGAGACATGATGTTATGGAAGGATCATATTGTCCAAGTGGCAGCAATTCACTGTCTCCAGTAACAAGTCCAGTTTAGGCAGGCACCAGATCGTGAATCCGAGACATGATGTTATGGAAGGATCATATTGTCCAAGGTGCAGCAATTCACTGTCTCCAATAACAAGTCCAGTTTAGGCAGGCACGAGATCATGAATCCGACACATGATGTTATGGAAGGATCATATTGTCCAAGTTACAGCAATTCACTGTCTCCAGTAACAAGTCCAGTTTAGACAGGCACCAGATCGTGAATCCCGAGACATGATGTTATGGAAGGATCATATTGTCCAAGTTACAGCAATTCACTGTCTCCAGTAACAAGTCCAGTTTAGGCAGGCACCAGATCGTGAATCCGACACATGATGTTATGGAAGGATCATATTGTCCAAGTTACAGCAATTCACTGTGTCCAGTAACAAGTCCAGTTTAGGCAGGCACCAGATCGTGAATCCCGAGACATGATGTTATGGAAGGATCATATTGTCCAAGTTACAGCAATTCACTGTCTCCAGTAACAAGTCCAGTTTAGGCAGGCACCAGATCGTGAATCCGACACATGATGTTATGGAAGGATCATATTGTCCAAGTTACAGCAATTCACTGTGTCCAATAACAAGTCCAGTTTAGACAGGCACTAGATCGTGAATCCCGAGACATGGTGTTATGGAAGGATCATATTGTCCAAGTTACAGCAATTCACTGTCTCCAGTAACAAGTCCAGTTTAGGCAGGCACCAGATCGTGAATCCGACACATGATGTTATGGAAGGATCATATTGTCCAAGTTACAGCAATTCACTGTCTCCAGTAACAAGTCCAGTTTAGACAGGCACTAGATCGTGAATCCCGAGACATGGTGTTATGGAAGGATCATATTGTCCAAGTGGCAACAATTCACTGTGTCCAATAGCAAGTCCTGTTTAGGCAGGCACCAGATCGTGAATCCGAGACATGATGTTATGGAAGGATCATATTGTCCAAGGTGCAGCAATTCACTGTGTCCAATAACAAGTCCAGTTTAGGCAGGCACCAGATCATGAATCATTATAAAAGGACACATGATGTTATGGAAGGATCATATTGTCCAAGTTGCAGCAATTCACTGTCTCCAATAACAAGTCCAGTTTAGGCAGGCACCAGATTGTGAATCGAGACATGATGTTATGGAAGGATCATATTGTCCAAGTTACAGCAATTCACTGTCTCCACTAACAAGTCCAGTTTAGGCAGGCACCAGATCGTGAATCCGAGACATGATGTTATGGAAGGATCATATTGTCCAAGGTGCAGCAATTCACTGTCTCCAATAACAAGTCCAGTTTAGACAGGCACTAGATCGTGAATCCCGAGACATGGTGTTATGGAAGGATCATATTGTCCAAGTGGCAACAATTCACTGTGTCCAATAGCAAGTCCTGTTTAGGCAGGCACCAGATCGTGAATCCGAGACATGATGTTATGGAAGGATCATATTTTTCAAGGTGCAGCAATTCACTGTGTCCAATAACAAGTCCAGTTTAGACAGGCACCAGATCGTGAATCCCAAGAAATGGTGTTATGGAAGGATCATATTGTCCAAGGTGCAGCAATTCACTGGGTCCAATAACAAGTCCAGTTTAGACTGGCACTAGATCGTGAATCCCGAGACATGGTGTTATGATTACATTATTTTGTCTGTCATGAGCATGTTGAGTAAACAGATTAACTACGAGCGGTAAGTTCACAAACAACGTTTTTCTTCACAAGGGGATTTTCACAAACTACAAGTGCAAAGCCCTCAACAGGCTTCTGCAATTTGTTTAGCACATTTAATCTGGTTACTGTATTAATGGGACTATAAGTAGTAGTAATAATTCTTTGACTGTGAGAAAAGGGTACTACTACCAGGTTATGAATGATATTCTCAGTGGTTTGTGGGTACTTGTGACATATTTTAACTGAATACTGCTATATGATTACACTTTTGGTTACTTTCACCAAAAGTTGAAAGAAGAAGTGTTTTCATTTTTTTCATTCTTTAAACATTTTAAACATTCCAGAATTCTTAAACATTGCATTTGAAATCGTAAAGCTTCAGACCAGTATCCCCCAACTATCAACAGGGTATAGAATACCATGATTACTTAGAGAAACAACATTTATTTTCACATTTCCTAGTATACATATGTCAAGGAAAGATTGATACTTCTTTGAACAATATGACATATCTCATAATGAACCAGTGAGTACATTTGCTTACTTGATTTCATTTTTTTCATTCTTTAAACATTTTAAACATTCCAGAATTCTTAAACATTGCATTTGAAATCGTGAAAGCTTCAGACCAGTATCCCCAACTATCAACAGGGTATAGAATACCATGATTACTTAGAAGAAACAACATTTATTTTCACATTTCCTAGTATACATATGTCAAGGAAAGATTGATGCTTCTTTGAACAATATGACATATCTCATAATGAACCAGTGAGTACATTTGCTTACTTGATTTCATTTTTTTCATTCTTTAAACATTTTAAACATTCCAGAATTCTTAAACATTGCATTTGAAATCGTAAAGCTTCAGACCAGTATCCCCCAACTATCAACAGGGTATAGAATACCATGATTACTTAGAGAAACAACATTTATTTTCACATTTCCTAGTATACATATGTCAAGGAAAGATTGATACTTCTTTGAACAATATGACATATCTCATAATGAACCAGTGAGTACATTTGCTTACTTGATTTCATTTTTTTCATTCTTTAAACATTTTAAACATTCCAGAATTCTTAAACATTGCATTTGAAATCGTAAAGCTTCAGACCAGTATCCCCAACTATCAACAGGGTATAGAATACCATGATTACTTAGAGAAACAACATTTATTTTCACATTTCCTAGTATACATATGTCAAGGAAAGATTGATACTTCTTTGAACAATATGACATATCTCATAATGAACCAGTGAGTACATTTGCTTACTTGATTTCATTTTTTTCATTCTTTAAACATTTTAAACATTCCAGAATTCTTAAACATTGCATTTGAAATCGTAAAGCTTCAGACCAGTATCCCCCAACTATCAACAGGGTATAGAATACCATGATTACTTAGAGAAACAACATTTATTTTCACATTTCCTAGTATACATATGTCAAGGAAAGATTGATACTTCTTTGAACAATATGACATATCTCATAATGAACCAGTGAGTACATTTGCTTCCTTGATTACATATATTTGCATGTCTAACATGGATCATTTGGCATGACTTTTTCATTCTATATTTACATGCTGTGTCAAAACCTGTTAAGAAATATTACTATTTTCATGCGGTGTAATAGATGATCAAAATCTATTTGTAAAATTAGGTCTAATTCAAAAGATCTGATTTATCGTTAGTACCAGGTTGATAATTAACTAAGATCATATCGTAACTGTAGATTCATGGCATTGTTATGTCATACCCTGGTTACACAAAGAAATCTGAATATGGTACACAAACCTAAGCTGCTGGCACTCTCAGAAGGATAGTGTCATTGTTAATAAAGTATGGATAGGTAACTTTGGAACCATGATATGATCATATCATACTTACATTTACACAAGCACTGAAACGTTAAATATCAAAATATTGAAATATTTTTATTTATACTGGATGTACCCTTACTTCAACTTCAAGTGACTATTCTTGAAATCGATTAGAGTTACCTCCCCTAAATGTTTTCACGAATTACCAAACGATGAACCATAATAACATTTGCATTTGCAACATATTCATACATCTTCAAATAACATAAACATACAGACAAACTAGTTAAAATGGATGATGATATTCTATGAGCAACACTCTCAGAAGACAGTTTTACACTCTCGCGAATAAGTTGACAATCAATCAAATAAGCCGATGTGGCACGACGATCGCGACATTGAACATGGAGTATATTTCGACATACCAGCTGTTGACTTGCTGCTGTATCCGTCGATTGAACGGTCCCCGAAAACTGCTTTAGCTAATTCCATTTTTCCAAAGTTAAATCCTTAGTATGTGCCACTGACATATCATACGCTTATTACATCGTGGGAACACTTATCAATCGCCATTGACGCGTATGCAAATT